TCCCTCCCTCCGCGGAGCGCCCCGAGGTAAGCGCTGCTCCGCGGACGGCGCGGCGGGGCTCGCCCGTCCTGTGGCGGCCGGGGCCGGGGCCGGGTCGCTGCAGGGGCGGCGGGTGCTGACGGCTCTTGTCTCCCCTCCGGCCGCAGCCCGGCGCCCCCATGACTCTGAACCGCGGCGACAAGCTGCGCTACCTGGACAAGCGGCGCGGCAGCATGCCCTTCTCCGTGCACCAGCACCTGCACCGGCGAAGCATGCCGGTGGACGAGCGGGACCTGCGGGCCGCCCTGCCGCAGGGCGAGCTCTCCGGCCTGGTGCGCTGCACCTCGTACAGCCCCGGCGAGGCGCACCGGGAGAGCTGGGCCTCCGACTCCTCCGACTCCGTCATCTCCTCGGGCAGCGACTCCGACAGCAACCTCTACAAGGTGATCCTGCTGGGCGAGCACGGCGTCGGCAAGACCAGCCTGGCCCGCATCTTCGGCGGCGTGGAGGACTGCGCGGACGCGGAGGAGGCCGGTGAGGGCGCGGGGCAGCGCGGCGGGGGGCGGCGGACTCCCGGTGCCGGCGGGCGGCGGACCGCCGGAGCGCGGCCGCGCCTCCCCGGGCGTCCCCCTGCGGCCACCCTCTCTCCCAGGCGGCCGGCCGGGACGGAGAAGAATAACTGCATTTTCTGAACTTTTTTTCCCGTAGGAAATACGTACGACAGGTCAATTATAGTTGACGGAGAAGAAGCATCTCTCGTGGTGTTCGATATATGGGAGCAGGTACTTGCAGACTTAAGATACTGTTTCTTCACGGCTCGCTCAGTGGTTCGCTCTCAAACTAGAAATGGAACAACTACGTCTGCCCAATTTCTTCGATCAGATCAGTAACGTTAAAAAAGTGACATTAAAAAATCAGAGTGCATCCTGCCTTCGTTCGCCTCTGCGATTAATTTCTTGTAGCTAGGCAGGCAATTTAAAAACCTGGATGGGGCTGGAGCGCGAATCCCTTAATGCTTTGAATAAGCAGCAGCTTACATGAGCAGCCCAGGGAATTACTGCAAAACTAGAGATTCACAATCTGATCAGTGCAGACCTGGTATTATTTCTGGAAACAAGAGAATTTTGGTTTTTAATGTGTTTTAAATAACAAAATCGTTAAAAAAAATGGGGAGGTTGGCTTACTTCTACTGACTCTTCATAATAAAGCTAAGAAAAATACCTTTAATGTGCTTACAGTAACTAAATCATTAATCAGTGCTGAATAGATTTTTCAGTACAATAAATCTATTTCTTGCTGTTTCTTCTAGGATGACAGCCAATGGCTTCAGAACCACTGTATGAAAATGGGAGATGCCTATATTATTGTATATTCAGTCACAGACAAAGTTAGTTTTGAAAAGGCCTCTGAGCTAAGAATCCAGCTAAGAAGAGCAAGGCAAACAGAAGACATTCCTATTATTCTTGTGGGCAATAAAAGCGACCTGGTCAGGTCTCGGGAAGTCTCAGTTGACGGTAAGAGACACTATTAATTTATACAGTAATGTCTAAATTAGTAGCAAAGGCTATGGAGGATCATGGCCAATAGAAATGGTCTGGGTTTGATGCAGAAAAATGTATGATTTGAGGCACACCGGAGAAATCAAGCCAGCTGGTTCATGCTGAGGGACTTGGTGCCGCAGAAAACAGTGGAGATGGTGGTGGGGGAAGATTTGTGACTGCGCAATGCTCTGAACTGTAGTACAAGAGAAAAAAATGCATCAGAGCTGCAGCTTTAGCATACTGTTTTGTGTGGGATTCATTTCTGGTCAGTATTAACTGAAGGGGTTTAATTATATGTTATGTGTGCAGCAGCACTTGCTAGTCTCAAGATTTGATAGCTCAAGGTATGCTTTTTAAGGGACAGGAGTGCCACATCATAGAACCCAGGCAGCCTTTGAAAAGGGTGATTCCATACAGCCTGTACAATCTTCTTTATTTTGGAAGCGATTCCATCACATTTGAGTTGAGCTTGTGGGACCAGGCTCACACAACTTGAAGTCTTTTTGTATATGTTCTCCAGTTGTGATCAGTGAGAATTTTCTTAGCTAGTTCCAGCTAGCATTTCAGTAACTAGAGCATGGTAACCACTGCCAACACCACAGTATTAATTTAACTTATTTAAACATTTGGTGGTTTTGTTTTTTTTGTCTTTTGGTTGTTTGTGGTTTTTGTTGTTTTTTGTGGTTTTTGTTGTTTTTTTTTTTTTAACTGGGAAGAATACTCTGAAATATCAGTGCCTTGATGATGATGAACCATCTTTTGCTGTCTGGTTTTGCCATGTTCCCTGTGTTAAATGCCTGCACAGGGAATTCACTGGAGTTCATCAGGAGATTATCACTTTTTTCAGGCTGGTGGCAGTGCATGGTTGACCTGTCGAGCCGTGAGATCAGTACTTTGCTCAGGTTTACAACTTTGCTATTATTTACCACAAGTTGAACATGGAAATTTGCACTGCAGCAATGTTGCAGAGTTACGTGCTTATGTCTGGAACATTGAGCATCTTGCATTTTGAATGCAGTCCTAGTCAAATCCAATGGTGTGCAACTTCATGACCTCTAGTCATCTGTTCAATGACTTGACCTTGTGGACTGTGTCAGCTTCATTTGTAGCTAGCATGGAAAATTCTCACTTATTACAGCAGGACAGAGGTGCGTAACTGCTCAACAACTTCCAGGAGAAATAAAAAACATTTCTTTCTGTACCTCACACTGTTTTCTATCAAACAGCAAGCATGCATCTAAGTCCATCTCCTATATCAGCTTTCTCTCTTAAATAATACTGGGATGGTCTGCCTAGAGGACTATTGTTGCCTTATATTCAGTATTATTGGTCAACCGAGATTTCTGACCATACCCCAGTAAAACCAAGAAGAGTAAGGGGCAAAACCATGAGTGCAAATTTGGACTTTCCTACCATGTAGTAAAGCTCTTCTGTTGCGTTGAAGGCACTTTCCTTACTCAAAGTCAATTTTTGTTTCATTTTTCTGCCAGTATATATGAAGAGAAGATGTCCCTCTCCACTCATCTCACTTTTTCTGTTTCCATACAGAGGGACGAGCCTGTGCCGTTGTGTTTGACTGCAAATTCATCGAGACCTCAGCTGCTCTTCATCATAATGTCAAGGACCTGTTTGAAGGTATTGTTCGGCAAATTAGACTTCGCAAAGACAGTAAAGAAGACAATGCTAGGAGAATGGCCAACACAAAAAGAAGAGAAAGCATAGGCAAAAAGGCAAAGCGATTCCTTGGGAAAATTGTGGCAAAGAACAATAAGAAGATGGCTTTCAAAGCAAAATCAAAGTCTTGCCATGACTTATCTGTGCTTTAGAAGCTTTCAGCAAGGCCAGATGTTGCACGTGGGTGATGAACTAGCATTTGACTGTTACGAGAAGTGTATAGATGATCCTCACGGTGATAACAAGAATGACTTATCAGTTGAGACTCTTGTTAATGCCTTAAGGTGTGCAAGCAAGTCCGGAAGTTACACTACAATGATAAATGATTCATTTAATTTGATTTCATTTTCTTTGAAATCATTCAAATGATTTCATTTCATTGATAAATGGTTTAAGTTTCAATGTGTGCAAGTAAATGAACTAACTTTAAGTAAGTGGCTTGACATGCCCACATTTTCACTGTGTACATATGTTATATATCCTCTTGTCCTGTGGATACCAGAGATGCAAAGATAAGAAAGGTTGATGATAAGTATCACCATAGACTTGTTTTGTTTGCAGAGCAAAATTTAAACTTGTACGCAGGCTCGTACATTCTTTTTAGTATAAAGCAAGCAATGATAAATCTTTTTAAACTGAAATGGGGGGGGTAGAACCACATTAGAATGGGAGAAAACAAATTATATATATATAGTTAAATACAGAACAGATATCATTTTATGAAGTTAATTTGCACTTCCATTAACCGTTATTCAATTAATTTGTTACTTGTTTACATGCAGATTTTATAATAAAGTATTATTTCCTGTTATAGTAAACTGTGCTTTTCTCATAGTATGGATAAAGAATGAGAGCGCAGTATTTTTATACTGACCTTTTTTCACTGTACAAAATGTTATACACAGACTATGCAGATTTACACATGATAAAGTTCTGGAACAAGATGAATCAGCAATATCCTGTGTCCTTTTCTTTAAGAGACAATTTCTTTAAGAAGTAAACCCTTCTTTTACGAATGCTCTACTTCAACAGCACATATTAGGAAGGGGTGCCTTGACCCTTCATATTATTGTTCATCTTCAGCCTGGTTCTCATCAGCTCTGGCAGGAACAGGCCTCTGTATAATGCCTTTAGTTAGATAGATGTCTTGTGTCTATACTGATAAATTGAAGCCTGCAATGTTCTACTTTTTAAATCCTCTCATGGCTTGAAGGTCTTGTGTTACAGCCAATAAGCGAATGTGGGGGTTTGGTTTTTATTTTGTTTTGCTATTTTTCTTTTCTGGGAGCAGTATAATTTTCTAATCTGCTCACAAGCCTGTAGATACCTTCCAGTGGTTTCAAGAAGTTCAAAGCAGGCTGGCAAGACTGTTTGAAAGAGTTGTAGACTTCAGTTGTAGTGTATGGTGGCCTTCAGTGCTGTTAAAGTTTTCATGTTCATTTTATTGTGTTATAATTAATGGGTTTCCATGACTTTTCCCTATTTGCTGTTCATGAAGTTAAAAAGCAATCATGTCTCAGTGAAAAACTTGGACTTAACTGCATTTGCTTTATAAATTCCTCTTCATAGGATACATTCTCTTTAAATTAATCCATAAACTCATTTCTCAAAAAAACCCAGTAAAACATATGCTCCTCTGTCTCTTTCTACTGTCCCTGCCCGAGTCTAGTTCTTTAAAGAAATTGTTCCAGCTGCCTGGGAGCTCCGTTTGTCCATGATTTTATAGGGACTGAGCTTTCCCATACAGCAAGCAAATTGCATCAGCTGTTATACCTTACATTGAGCTTCACTGAGCTCAAACAACCAACTCTCCATTGGGTTAGCCCAGTGCTTGGGCACTCAGCAGGGAACAGTTAGTACTGGGGGAAGTCACATCTGATTCGTGTAGGTAATGCTCTGTAGAGTTAGTGTCTTTTGATGGGCTGCTGGTGGACCTAACTGGTTAGATGCACAGTTTAGCATATGTTGCTGGCAGCCAGTCACATTTCTTATGAAGAAGGGTGTTTACTTTGTGTCTTGAGTGAAGTCTAAAGTGAATAATTCTGTCCTGCTGCCAAAACTCACATTTACCTGACAATATGTTTTAACTGGATTTGGCTTTTTTTCACTAGCCTTGCTTCCTGCCAAACTACTACCACTGCAAAGTCTAACCACTGTCAGAGTATGGCACCAGGCATCTGTTTACATGGAAGCTTTTAACTGTCAACACCAAAGCAATTGCTCTAGTCCTGAAAACTCGACAGCAAGTGTCCAAATTCACGTGCATAAATTTGGCGCATACCTATTCACAGACATGCTAAAGTTACTGACAAAACTACATGGTGTTCCCTCTATGTTTGCAAAGCTTCTGTCTTTTGGTTGCCCTGTGCTTTCAGAATGACCAGGAGAGAACTGACATGTTTGATTGACTTGCAAGATTTAATTCTGTCCATAATAAATAGAAGGAATGGGATGCAAACCCAGAATTCAAGGTGTGGCATTTCACAGAGTGCAAAATGTTACAAAGATGTGTCACTCTTAAGGCTGCAACATAACTGCAGCTGCAAAGCCTCTTCAAGGTCATGGTTAACAGCTGTGCATTTTGCATGCTCTGACCTACAAATCAGATGTTTTACTGTGTTCATGAATTCAAAGGTTAGGTCTGGACAACTCTTAAGCCTAAAATATTTCTGAGATGCTCTAGCGCGTTGCTAGAGGTTCATATGTTGAAAATAATTTGCATTCTGAAAGTATGTCATATAGGACACTGTGAGACAATAAACTGTGAATCACTCTAAAGAAACTTGAGCTAATCTAGAATGTATTCTATCAGTTAATATTGTACAATAAAATACTTATTCAAATCCTCATTATACTAATTTTTTAATTCATTCGTTTCTACAGGGATTAGTATAATTCAGCCATGGTTCATGAAAAGGGGGAGGGTTTGTTGTTACTGCAGCTCTGACAATAACCTGCTGTAGACCAAGATCATACTCTATGCTATAGAAGTATTACCATGAATACTATTTTGCAGACATTTTGTAGCTCCTGGAAGATTCTCCACTGAGAAAAAATTCATTTCTTGGATGTGATTTAGTGACATTTCCAAGCAGACTTTTTGGAAGTATACATGCAACACCAGCTAGAAGTCAGTAACAGGCACCTAACTGACAAATGCCTCTAAAAATCAACCTTCTTCAAATGGTTATTTGTAACTTCAAGCATTTGAAAGTCATCTGTAGGTTTTTGTAATTTGAGATGTTTTATTGGTATGGATACTCAGATTCTTGTCACTAATGGGGTGAGTCTATGTCATGTGAAAAGTAGAGAGTCCCAGACAGCAGTATTTTCTCTAATTATTACCGAGTATAACAGAGTGTAAGGGGTAACAGTGGTATGAGTTTTCTTATTTTTTTGCCAATGTACATCAGTTTTAATTTGGAGGGACAGTTCACACAGTCATTTAATCTTTACTGCCTTTGCTGCTGCCAGCTGAAGTTCCTATTAGTGCTAATTGTGGTGGTGGATTTTGTGTTGGCACAAATCCATTTGGAACAGCTAGTTATTAGCAACTACAGTGGAAGGACATTGCCTTTTGTAGTGACACATATGTTAGGTAAACAAATCAAAGCCTCCTCTGCTTGCTATTGCTAAACTAGCTCCTGTAAATTCCTCACCATATGAAAAATGTGAAGAAAATGGTTCCTCCATCTGCCAAAACCACAAAGCATAAAGTCATGTCACATAAATATAGACGAAATGTTAACTGCCGGGGGAAGACTTAGCATCACCAAAAATGTAGTTTTACTCAGATGTATTTTCTCAAAATAGGACTAGAAAAAACAGGGCATGATCTACATAGTAACATTGCATAACATCACTGTTCTTTACTGAAAAGGAAAGTATAGTGAGTTGACAGTGATTAAGAATCCAGTGTGTAATAAAAGATTGCTAAGATGTAGTCTAAATAAAAAGTGGGGTAATACTTATATTATGCTGAAATTTGCTTTAGTACTCCGAATTTTATTCAGAGACAATGTACAGATTTAATTGTGTGTACATCACAGACACCTCACTGAATCTGCAGTTGCAAAGGTGATGTCTGTCAGTTCCAGAACCACCACTTAATTTATAATTTGCCACATGATCTCTAGCATTATAATGGACAATTTCACTCCCTCTTTGCATAAAGGAACATCTGAACTCCAATATTATTGAAGTTATTAATTTCTAGAAATTGAAATAGTAAATTATGTCAATTTACTCCTTGTGCTCTATGACATGGATGTTGAACAGAGAAGTAAAAGATAAAAAGAGAGAACAAATGCCCATTGCTTGTCTGCAAATAAGATTTCTCTAACCTCCTGTTCAGAATCCAAGGGGGAACAACATTGTTTAACTTAAAAATGTACTAAAGCTTCTCGCACTAGAGGGTAGGAAGCAGGCTAAGAAATTTACTTCAACACAGAGTTCTTCACCAACAAAATAGTATTAACTGTGTACCACAAAAATTTTCTGGCCACTGGGTAAAATGGGCAGTGTGTGTTCTAAAGACTCTCCTCTCTCTTGTTCTCTTTTTTTCCCTGTATTTATAAGTAAGTAAGTGTGCTGTCTGAATGAATCGCTGAAAACCAATTAGGAGCCTACAGGTTTTTTCCTAATACTCCCATATTTATCACAGGAGCTGAAGAAAAGATTAATCTGAACTAAAATTTAGCAGATTCAGAGACTGAGATAAATAGAATATATTTGAAAAATATTAATTTTCTCACCCTCCTAAAAAAGCTTCTCTAAGGTCCAAAACAGGGGCTGGAGAAAGGACAGCATTTGGAGAGCAAGTGTTCCTGCTTAGAATAGTCTAGTCAGACCCCTAAAAATCTCCTCAGCTTGTTTCTGGCAGTACGTCCCACTTTTATCAGCCTCATTACACTAGCATAAATAATTACACTACTGTTAGGCTTGCAGTCCCATTGAAGGTTGTGACCCTTACTTTGGGAATGACAGTTTTCAGTTCAGTGGAGGCCTTGGCAGAAGAACAGTAATTTTCGTCATGCCTAAATTGGACTGTTGTAATGCATTACGCTTAACAACGAGCTTTCAGGAGCTCCAGGTAGTAGGAAATATAGTAATGTTAATTAAGCTGGCTAGGTCAAAATGAGCATGTAACTTCTGTGCTCAGGCCTGGGTTCCCATATGGTTTTAGGTGAAGTGATAAACCTAGAAAACCTGTAAATAGCATTGGACATGATTAATGTTGAAAACACTTCACTTTTTGTTGCATGTTTCTTGGCTGGCTACAAAGCTTGTTGAACTCATATAAAGTCAGAAGCATTGCT